TAATATGTCGTGCAGACACGGACCTAAAGAAGACTATAGAAGCAGAGACGGCGCTAGCTAGGCTATAGCAAGCACCATTCTCATATTTGGCTTTTACCCAGCAGTGCCCTACTTGTAGTAACTTATGATATTGAAAACTTCGTGATATATTATGTAGAAATTGTAAATGTATAATTAGTATTTATTCTCTATTGGACTAAATGTTTTCCCGGCATGGCCACGTCATTAAAAAACAGCTGACACCGCCTCTGACTAGAATTGGGACTTTACCCACCTCCGGGATTATTGTCCACAATAACCTACTGTTATATTCACGGTTCGGTATGCTTATCAGTTAATTTATAAACAAAATTAAGTCTCAGTACCCAATTTAACCATCCATAAATTTGTCTTCTCATTAGTTCCGTCTGTAATTTCCAAACATGTGACTTGACACAGTTTCTTTAACAAAACTGAATATTATTCATTCGGTACATTGACCATTGATAGTGATAGTAATAAATACATTAAATAAATATTGAAATATATTTATAGTAGTAGTGTTTTCGATGGTAACAATACCATCCGTAAAAATTGTCCATCGGACCGAGTATATTATAGTGGAAACAATAGTCGATTAAAGCGGATCTGGTTGTTCATTGTTTGATTTTTACAACCACCGTTGTGTGTGACTGGGCCCAGGTCGGGCATAACCCGTTACACTCTGTGGATATTGCACACCGAGTGCACGCTTTTTGCACTATATAGTATATCTGTATATATATATATATATATATACACGTTGTTAGAATAATTATGCTGCTGCAACCGCGGGTACCCTCCTGCGTATACGGAAAGTAATGCGACGATGAGAGAATCCTGTTAAACATTTCATCGTGGGTAATAATAATTATTATAAGAGACTATGGGGGTCTATCCACGTGGGGTGGCACCGGCTGGACGTCGTTTTCGCGTTAAATGTATTTTCTCAGTTTTCCCATTTTGCTTTGGATACATACGTATATATATATATACATAAAAATAATATTGTTTTTAAAAGCAGCAACACGTTGCTAACCGCTGCGGAACAATTCCATTTTGTTCTTTTCGGAACGCCGAGGACAGAGAAACCAACCATGACCGGATCTCCGGTCGTTTGAGCACGGTGGCATCGTCATCACCACCATCGGTTTCCAACACGGCCAGGGTCACCAGCATAACCTTGCAGTCAGTTCACTCCCACGCGATCTCTCACGTCGTTTCGTTACTTTTGTACGTTTAACTATTATTATTATTTTTTGATTTTTTCCTCCTTCTTAAATATCCTTTTCCATCGCGTCATAATATCATACAGTCGTTCTGTTTTCCCTCGTCCGTCCGAAATCAATCAAAAAACGACGACGATGACGACGTTCTAATGACTTTACTAAATTACTGTGTTGTTTTTTAATACGGCATGGCAGCCATCCCCGGGGCTATGTGTTGCTACTCGCCGGCGAATTTGTCACCGCTCGAGTGGAAACCCAAAGACTCGGGTCATCGATTTGACGGATACGTCGAAACCGAAGACGTTAACCCCAGCTAAGTACATAATATTATCACAGCCGACGATGGTACCTATAGATACGAGCGGGCACCCAGTATCTTTTCTTTGGGCTTCGTTTCAAAAACAAAAACAATGTTTTTGACGGAACGCGACGGGAACCGATTAAAGATACCTATCGCCTCATTACAAGCGTATAGGTACAGCTGTGGTATACGTGGCCAGCGCTTGTTCAGTCGTACGACGCCACAATACTTATATAGTTATGCGTGCGGTATTTTGATTTTGACCTTTTCCTATTCTTTTTTTTATTTTCTGCACCGTACTCGCACCACGCTGTACGTGTATACACCGTTTATATTTTCCGTGTATTCTCTCACGCAAATCGCCCGGGATGCTGTGCTTTATAATAATTATATACAGTTTATATATATATTGGGTTTGCCTAGTGTCTGGTATATTAGTTTTAATTGGTTCAACGACACACACGCACACTTGAAACAATGGTCTGTTTAATAGCGGATCGGCACCGTACGCACATGAGAGATATCTGTCCGTCTTATCCTCTCTCTCTCTTTTTCTATTATTTCCCTTCTTCCACTGTGATATAGTCCGAGCACCGTTGCCACCGCCACAGCCGCCTCCGCATCGTCCTCGCGCCCCACCCAGTTCCGACACAAAGCCCGTCACGCGTGACCCGCGCACTTAGGCCAGTGCTCTTTGTCTTCACCCGGTTACAAATACGACCTGTGCGCGGGTACCGAGAGGTCGAACAACAACAATATTATTATCGGCTGTACAGTTTTTTTTTTTTTTTATATACACCAGGTTCCGCGATATAGGTATACAATATGAACGGTAAGGTACAACGATCATATGGGTATACGCGTCTCGTTTGCAACCAGAGGAAAGCATCGTGCACTTGGAGCACACGACACTGCGCGACCATCCCGTTACAGTCAGCTAGCGTGCGTCCACCGGCTATACAATATATACTATACAGAGTAGGTTCACACACACACATGGTTTTGCGGACAAGAGCTAATTTATCTGATCTAACACAACGAGGGCACGCCCGACATTATACTATGTATATTATATTATATTATATATATATATATATATATATATATACCAGACCCATAAGGAACAACAGCAACAACACGGCACTGTAATAATAATAATAATAATACTATCGCTCGACGTATCGCCAGCGTGAGTATTACCTACTTATTGTGTGTGAATACTGAGCTGTGTATTTGGTAGGAAAAAACTTGCGGTCTTTTAACGTCTACCTACTGCTGCAGTCATTGTGTGTCATCTCCAAAAGTCACATGCTTCATTATTCATTGGCGAGTTTGTATAGCCGAATAACCCGGGTGGGTGGACAGCGCAGGCGTGCATAGTGTTTTAGGATAATATGGTATTTTTTTTTTTTTTTTTTACTTCAAAGTACATGTATATTTACTAGTGGTTCTCAGTGGCACAATAGAAACTATTCATACGAGCGTTCGACCCCGCCGATGGTAATTATTAATTGCTCGTTATGCGCCGTATTTAAATATGAATGCTTCAAACATAAATGTATATACAAACGGAGAGCTCGTGACCACGTTCAATGCAAAGAAAAAGAAGAAAATGTAGAGTGATGAATACTGTGGTGGAGCACAGGATGTATAAAAAGAAATATTTCAGAGGCCATAGCACACACATATTATATTTATGTATGTACATAGTTGGTATGTCAGAAAACGGTCTTTAATGGATAAAGTCATCCCTCGTTTGCCTACCTCTATCCGTTTCTCTTGCTCTCTAATCCATTTTACATAGACGTTTTACTGATGGCGGTATTATGCTAACTACACGAACACACATCTACACATTATAAGGGTTAACTGTTTTCAAAAATCTTATGCTTTCAATTGATGCACATGATAATAAAATTATACATATTTTACGTTTAACCAAGATGAAATATTAATAATAATAACATAATTGTCGACAACGAGTGACAACTTGTTATACAAAACAGATAACTCTAGAGATAAGCAAGTGACTTGTTAAGCATTTTTATAAAATCCTAGTTCATTTAAAGCATTTTAAGATTATTTGATTAACTATTTATTTTAAACGTCGTAGATACATAATGAATTATAGATACTTATCTGTTTATTACTGTAACTACATATACAGATGTTATATTTAAAATAAATGAAGTTTATCATTGTCAATTGAAATTATTTAAATTTATAGTTTGATGACTTTGAATTAAAACATTAATTTTCCAAAAAAAATTAGATTAGTATTGATTTTTTGAAGCTGAACGCTCGAATTTTTGTTTTAAGAAAACCAGTTTTATTTATTAGGGCTATTAATAAGATGTTTTGTTGGCGTTTTTCTTGTAATTTGTTTTAAAGACCATTAGACCGTATGCGCAGTGTCTGTTATATTATTTTATATTTAGGAGTGTTAAGCACAATTTTTCATTAAAAGTCTACTATTAAAAGTACGGCATATAACCGTCGTAAATGTCGAAGAAAAGTTTAAATTAAAGAGGATAGATAAAAAGAAAAAACGAGCATACGGTTGAAAAATTAGCCAGTCAACCGTACAAGCAAATCTTAAAGTAAACAAACAAGTTTGTGTGTATTTTATCAACTGTAAACTGGGGGGCGACCAAGATAACTTTGTCTAACCTTTATTTTTTTTTTTTTTTTTAGGAACGTACATGATATTGTACAGTTTTTAAAAAAGTTTGTTTTTACACTTATAAAAAAAATGAATAAACTTGTTATGCTCAACTAATAAAATTAATTTCAAGCGAAAAATATGATTAACATTATAAAATAATATACAGGGTGATCCACTTATCGTGAACCACTCAATATCTCATAGGGTTTAATAAGAAATACATTTTTTTTCATAAGGTTTTTATACAATGGGATCTCAATTTTTCACAATTTTTTTGTTTTTACCGCCTTCCAGTTTATTTTTTTTAATAACAACTTTTGAAACTTAAATGGTAACGTATATGTTTCATTAACTTTTTAAATTGAGAATAATGTATTAACAATTTTGACTGGTCGATAACCAGTTTCGGATAACTATTTTTAAAGTTATAAGAGTTTTAAAGTTTGGATGGGAGGGGAAGTGCGGTTGGGATATGCGCGCCGATAAAAATAATACTACACTCCAACTTTCCTCCTGCCCTAAACTTGAAACTTCACTAACAACAAATTGAGATCACATTGTATACAAAACCATATGAAAAAAATAATTTTAATTTCTTATTAAGCCCTATGAGATATTGAGTTGTTCACGATAAGTGGATCGCCCTGTAGTGTCTATAAATCACATGTACTAAAAAATTAATGAAACAAAAAAAAAATTTTAAAAAAAATTTCTTAGTATAAAATGTTTGAAACATGATTACAACGTTACGAGAATATTGATTATACGTTTTTTTTTTAATATTTACCTTAAGAGCCGTGTGTGCAAATAATAGTGACATATTATGGTCTTCGGGTATTCTTTATATTTCTCTATGGGTGTATAGATTTCTGAAAAAGAAAACATTTTGTTAAATTTCGCTATTATTAATTATTATTATAGTACTTATATAAAGAAGGGACGCGACAGAGGACAAGTTTTGCAAATGGGTATTCATAAGTAGTGCATACTATAACGGAGGTATGGATGTGCTTATTCCTTTTTAGAGAGTTCGTGAGTATGTACTTATAAACATGCCACGGATGCTGCGGTTTTGGACCCTTTTGGGATTGGCCCTTAGAGCAATAATTGCGTAACACTTAATGGACCCGTGTACAATCATTTCGTACCGGTCTTGAAATTAAGGAGGAAACTTTATCACCACAACGAGTTTATATTACAAACCACATCATAGCAATACATACATAAATGTAAAAATCATAAACACCCTGCAGGGCCTAGAATTTAAAAGACTTTTATTAAGTACATTAAACATTATTGTATCATATATGTGTATAAAACATTGTGAAGTGTTAGTCATGTTATATACAAGCCTAGTAAATCTATAAAAGTAAGCTTTCTTCCTTAATCTGGTATGTATGGATTGTCTAGTGGTATGAGAGTTCAAAATAATTATGTTTTAATTTCTGTACAATTTTTTTATGCTAATACGTAATATCAAATATGTACCTTTATACAAGTTGATAAATAATAAAAATTAGTTTAATAAAATATAGCAGCATCCTATTTTTAAAATTGAAATATCTAGGTATTGTCTGAGTTTATGATAATTTGATATATTATAGATGTTATTACTTTTCTACCTGAAAAAGTTTTTCATAAACAAAATGACTCTTTCATAACATTCTGAACACCTGTATAATGTAATACATTTTTCACCTATACAAATTTAATGATTACATCATACGTTCTAAATTTTTTAAGATCTTCAAAATGTATATTTTTTCGAACTAGAAATTTTGTATGGTTACACCACACATTTCTGTTTACACCACGATGCGTCTTAACAATTGTTATAGCTATTCAAGTGTATGACCAGAAGTATTTATACAGTATTACATCACCATATTATGGTTGGTTAACTTGGCCATTGAAAATGTATAATATTTAGTTATTGATTGGTGAGTCATTAGATATGCATGCACCCTGAAGATCGGCACCTGGACAGAGGCTCTTGTTTCCATACGCATAACGCTTATATATATAAATATAATTTTCAAAGACTATAAACAATACCGTGCTAATGAAATAAATATTATTTGTATAATATATATTATGAAGTATAGGTCTGGAAACAATGCGCTCAATAGCTGCGCAATTAGCGTACTACGTTTCGTTTCGTCAACTGTTGACAGTGGCGTTGAGAGAGGGGGAGAAGGGGAGACGTTTTAACATTTATTGAAACAAACACGGATCTGAATATAAAAAAATAAAATAAGACATATGGCAACTACAATACACACTATATATAATGATCACGATCAAGCTCCTTTGAATTTAAATGAGTTTTTACTACGTCTAACACGGACAAAGCGCGAATTCGCTGTTGATTGCAGAACCGTGCATATTTTGGGTTATGTTATAAATGATTATGATAATATACAGGGGCGTCGTGTGATGGATCACGCGGATAGACGTTGGCAATATTTTGTCGTGGATGCGGAAAAGGCGAGAGAACGAGTGTGAGTATGAGCCTGAGACAGAGAGAGAGAGATAAAGATAGAGCAAAACTACAAAATATGTTATTTATTATTCACGAGACACGCGCTCGCGCACACATTTGTATAATAGATCTTCATATAATCTCTTGTACGCTATAATATAATGTAATATGACGGGACCCACTCGGAGAGATCAATGTCATCGCCAAGCAAACTTGTTTCGATGTTCCAACATCAGACAGTCTGTCTGGACGATCGATTGCGAACAAAATTCTCGCCCAGATGTCCAAAGGCAATTACAGCAGTTAATTGCTTAACCACACTCGGGCAGTCCACAGAAATTATATATATATATATATATATATATAATTGTTATTTATCCGCGATTAGACTGGATGAAATTTAAAAAAAAATACGAACATCGTTGAGAATAAATACTTTTAAGTTTTTTGTTTGAAAGCTGGCGCGACAAGTCTGACAAATAATAGTCTGACAGTATATCCTTAAGAACGTCAAGTATTAGAAAAACAAATCAAATTATTAAATGCATTTTAGCTAAAAACTAGCTAAAGAAAAACGACATTCAAAATTACACTATCCGCTAGTCAAAAAATGATTATTTATTATTTAGCTTCAATTATTTTGAGTGTTATAGTTTAATATACGAAAATTATTGGTAGGTATACGTGTTCAAATGAACAATAAAAATAATAAAAAAGAGATTATAGGTGGCAATTTGAACGGTTAAAACGCAAGTGTATATCATCAATGTACATGGTAGATACTACTAAATGGTTAGAATTTCCATGAACACTGCTGAATTACCAAATGAATAGACATGTCCATCGACCGCTTTGATGTTAATAAAATAAAACAAAAAATATTGCTACTACGGTATATTTTAATCGAACAATAACGTAACTGCCAAAATAAACATCTTTTGAATCATTTCTTGATGATAACCGACGGTATAGAACGTCAATTTCTTAATGTATTAATAAAGTTTATAATTTGTTACGCTTAAAATTAGATTTTAAAACGGGTCAGTAATTATAGATCAAACGTTTGTCAGTTAAGATCGCATTTAAACATCTGGACTCGTGTACTGTTTGCCGGGCAAATAAAGTATATAGATAAATATGATTAACATACAGATGTGCACGACTAAACGAAAAGACAGTTCAGATAATAAAAACACCATTAAACTTATAATAACATAAAAAATATAATTTTGTTGCTTCCACTAAAATAAAACCCGAGTCGGTTGAGCGAAAATTGTGATGGAAATATTTTTAGAGCGTTAGCATAGAAATGGCGTTTTAAAAATATTTACTCGAAAAAAAAATTGAAAAAGCTCAACTGATTAAATGTTAATTTATTAATAATAAAATTCATAAAAAACAAACCATTATTTGAAAAAAAAATATTTTCAAGTGTAGAATTTGTATTTTTAATCCGACGAATTTAAAACTATGAAGTATGCGATTACATATTCAATTTCATGTAATCTAACTGGAGACACGATTCTAAACGTAAAATGTTCGTTTTCACTACATGTATAGATATAAAATAATCAAAGCGATCATTATGACTATAAAATGAAAAATGGGCGGCACAAATGTTAATTAAATTGAGTTAGCTATTCTCTGTATAAAATGGATCAACATAAACACAGCTATCAACAAGCCTTCTTATTCACAGCGCATTGTTTTTTTTTAGACCGGTTGTCTTTAATAATAACAATTGTAACGTTATATTATATTCAAGGGCGCCCAAAGAAAACGGGCAGAGGGACAACATCCCCCTATAACCTCTGCAAGTTAAAATAAAATTTTATCCCAAATTCTCAAAATCCATTACAAAATCATATAGACGGGAGTCCACCTCTGAATTTTCAGCTACTAGTGCCCTTGATTATATTATAGTTTTATTTTAGAGTGGACGATAGTAGAAAATTTAGCACATGATTATAATAATATTTATTCATATCAAGTCGGAAGCCCCACTGTCTGTTCTCGTGAAAACCGTATTCGTCCGGTCAGGTAATTCGAGTAGTGCAAACAGATTCCGCCACCGATCTCCGGCCATCTTTTAATAATAACGATAAAATAATAATTGTAACAACCTAATGAAACCCGATGATAACGCACAGTGTCCGGTTACCGGTGTACATATTATTATTATATCGGTGATTATAATATAGTGTGTCTTGAGTACGACCCGAGACGGCCGTGGCACCAGCATTACACGATATAAAGAAAGAGTCGGCGAACATAATTGATCTGCATCGACAGTGCACATAACACACCACCGTTGCATATTATCGTACAATACAATTATTATTATTGGTATCAGCTCGTTGACCGTAAACAAGCTGCGGAGACTTGCACGAGAGAGCCGACTACATCTAACAGACACACATTGTACGCCCATAAATATTGCACGCGGAAAACGATTGGTCTTCGTGAATGTGCTCGTAAATATAAAACCAGTTCGGGTTCCTTTGTGACGACGTCGACGGACCTTAGAAGAAGAACACACACACACACACACACACACACACATATTATACACACCGTCTGTGTGAGCACTGAGCAATATAAACAGGATAGGACAGTATAAAGATTTTCCCTCGGTACTTCAATGGACGCGACGTTGTGCAAGTTGTATGTGTGCACGCCGACGACGTTTTAATTGTAATAATGGGTACGTGAACCACCAATAATAAGAGGAGTCTTCATTACGTTGGAAACATAATATCAAGTAGACAGACAAACCCCGGATAAGTGTTTGAACAATAATTACTACACGTCGGACAACAATAAATATTACAAACGACTGAAAGGGAAAGAAATCTTTTTCTCACAAGAGTATAATAATTATTATTTCTGTGGACGGACCGACTACTAGCACAATATGTAAAACACTTTAGGTAGTACATACTACTCACTTTAAACTTTCTACACTTACACTGGTTAAATGTACTCTTTAATGCTAAACTTTAGTTGCGACAGGAAAGCGTTTTTTAAAATAAAGGTTTAGATTGTGAATTAGAATTTTAAATCGGTTCATTAGGATTGTCCAGTTGTATTGACAACCACTACTGATAACCATACGTTTGTATAGGGAAAAACTAAGTCTATAAAAATATAATTCTATTATCGCAGATTTTATGAAAACGATACTTTATTCTAACTGTACAAAGTGGTGCTGACAACTATATCACGTCTGACAGATGTGGTAATGGATAAAACGACTGTCGTTTCTTATAATGCACAGAACATTTTTTTTTTTTTTTGTAAAATGTGTCCTTAACGTTTGTATACATAACATCAAATCAAATTCGACTTAATTCGGATATCTAGATTATTGTTTGGGCCCGTTTTTAG